TTCTGGGCTGCCAGCACACACTGCCGGCTCATGTCCAGCTTTTCATCCCCCAGTACCCCCAAGTCCTTTTCCTCAGAGCTGCTCTTGATCTGTTTTCCACCCAGACTGCTCTTGTTTGGGATTGCCCCAACCCAGGTGCAGGACCTTGCCCTTGGCCTTGTTGAACTCCATGAGGTTGGGATAAGCCCACCCCTCCAGCCTGTCCAGGTCCCTCTGGATGGCATCCCTTCCCTCCAGCATGTTGTCTGCACCACACAGCTTGGTATCGTCAGCAAACTTGCTGAGGTGAGGGGGCACTCAATCCCACTGTCTGTCATCAGTGAAGATACCAAGCAGTACTAGTCCCCGTACCAATGCCTGAGGGACACCACTTGTCACTGATCTCCATCTGGACATTGAGCCACTGACCACTACCCTCTGGATATGAACATCCAACCGATTCCTCATCCACCAAACAGTCCACCCATCAAATCCATCTTTCTCCCATTTAGAGAGAAGGATGTTGTAGGGGACCATGTCAAAGGCCTTACAGAAGCCCAGATAAACAACATCTGTAGCTCTCCCCTTGTCCACTGATGCAGTTACTCCATCACAGAAGGCCGCTGGATTGGTCAGGCAGGACTTGCCCTTGGTGAAGCCACGCTGGCTGTCCCAAATCACCTCCCTGTCCTCCACGTGTCTTAGCATAGCTTCTAGGAGGATCTGTTCCATGATCTTCCCAGGCGCAGAGGTGAGGCTGGCAGGTCGGTAGTTTCCAGGGCCCTCCTTTCTACCCTTTTAAAAAGTGGGTGCAATGTTTCCCTTTTCCAGTAACTGGGGACTTCACCTGACTGCCATGACTTCTGAAGTGTCGGAAGTCCACGGAGAGTGACTTGGCAATTACATCAGCCAATTCCCTCAGGACTGGGGTGCATCTCATCAGGTCCCATAGACTTACGTATGTTCAGGTTCTTCAGGTGGTCACAAACCTCATCTTCTCTTTCAGTGGGAGGGACTGTGCACCCCAGTCCCTGTCCTGTGGTCCATTTGCTGGAGAGGTGTGGGAAGAGAGGTTGCCAGTGAAGGCTGAGGCAAAGTAGTCATTGAGTACCTTGCTCTTCTCCTCATCCATTGTTACCAGTCTTGCTCGTTGGTGGTGGGAGGGTGCACTTTCTTTGGCCTTCCTTTTCTGGCTGACATACCTGTAGAAGTCCTTATTCCCTGCATCCCTTGCCAAGTTCAGCTGCGCCTTGGCCTTCCTGACCACAGCCCTACACAACTGGGCAGTATTCCTATACCCTTCCCAGGATACCTGTCCCTGCTTCTGCTGCCTATGCATTTCCTTCTTGCCCTTTAATTTGCCCAGCAGGTCTCCCCTCATCCATGCTGGTCCTTTGCCTTCCTTTCCTGATTTCTTACACCTGGGGATCGAGAGCTCTTGTCCTTAAAGATCTGCCAGCTCTGTTCTGCTCCTGTGTCCCTGAGGGCTGTTTCCCAGGGGATCCTATTGACTATTTCTCTGCTTGAGAAAATAAAGCTCTTTCTCATAAATAGTTCTTGTGTTTCTGGCAGGTATTCAATTACAACCAGTTTGTTCCACAAGTGAAAAGTGATACTCAGCTCTTTGACATGACTGCGGAAGTGGTTTTTATTAGCAGAGAAATCACAGGACAAAAAGATTTTCTTCCAAATCACTTGTCCTCTTTCCCTCCATCTGTTTATTTTTTAAAGTAATTCCACTGAGCCAATTCTCAAAACCACCACCAATCAAATCAGACTTAGTTTGCAATATCTGCAGTTTAGACTTTTTTGCTTTATTCTTTTTATGAAGATCAGAGTCTTCTGTGTACAGAGACTTAACCACAAAGCATCTAGCAGCAACAATGATTACCAGGTATGAATAGTCCTATATTATGGTCATGTGTGGTTTATCCCACTGAAAAATGATGGCCAAGTATCAGCAGCTCACTCAAAAACTGTTTTCTTTTTTCAGTGGGGACAGAGCAACAGCTGATACAAACCCTGCGCACATGCATTTGAGCAACCATGCACATTTCCCCCATAACAGTCAGAAACTTGCAGTTAGATGCAAAGTGCTAGATGGCGTATCTCAAAAACCAGGGTGCCAAATGGCAACTCACTTCTGTGAACTGACACGGTAGGAGATCAATCTGAAATTCCCATCTGGAGGAATAAATGAAAGGACTCTCTCAGATTCCCAGCGTTTGAACCGAATACACGGATGGAAGCTGACGTCATCCAGCAGCCGTGGGTTCTGGAAGTAGTGGAAAAGTGGTGAAGTGAAATCTCATCAACTATCACCAGTCTGAACCTGCTACTAAACTCTACACAATTCCCACTTCTTAGACTGTAAGTATCATTCCTGAGCTGGATGGATGCCTGTCTGTGTATTTTTACGTACAGACAAAAGCCATGCCAAGTCCTGAGCAATGCAGCAACTTCTGCAGAATAATGCAAAACTCGTTACATTGTTTTTTGTATGCGTAACACACGAAGTAGTGATTGCGCTCTTAAAATTGTTTAACTCTGATCATTAAGAAAAATAAATCCTGAGCAACTATAATTCCCAAATATATGCTAAATTTACCATGAAAGAAAGAGTCATTCCTGAGAGCTTAATACATGAATCAATAACACCTTGGATTTCTGCAAAGACTGTGGAACCTGTGGGGAAAAAAAAGACAGGACATAACATTACTGTCAAGGGCCTAAGAAACGCTGTGAAGTGCAGCTGGAGGGCACAGATGACATTTGCACAACACTCAAGAACACGCTAAGCAGGGACAGAAAAGGTCATTCCGGTTACCTGTGGCCTGGGCAGCTCGCTAAGCTACGTGAGCCAGAGCAAACAGCGTGTCCCAGATCAGCAAGTTAGACTTGTGCCAGCTGTTACACAGGGCTTGTACTGGATGTGCTTGAACTGGTTGCCAGCAATGAGCAAATGATTTCTGAATATGCAAGCTCTGAATCTTCTTCTCTTTCAGCCCTGTCCCCTGTCTCCAGAAAACTAGCAAGTGGTGCAGGGAAGTTGAGGCACATCAGAACACAGTAAGTTTGTGCTATAAAGTTCAAGATAACCCTGGCTTTCACAAGCACAGCTTGTTTAACAGTGGGATTACATATTCATCCTGATGTTAAATAAATCTACAGAAAAAACCCCAACCCCAAACAACCCCAAAGCAAGACAACCAAGCATCTTACCCAGGAAAAGCTCATTTCCTTAAATACCCTATAAGGACAGAAAGGCATGAGCAGGACTCTGGATTAATTAGCCCTACAAGCAAAGGTTATTTTAGAAGATATATAGAAACTACTGCTGACCTATTCAAGGGGAAGGAGGAACTGTGGGTTAATACTTTGCCTGGAAAGAAGGGATCCTGTTTCAGATGAAAGCAGTTAACCATATCCCCGTTAAACAAGGTAACATCCCTATTCTAGGGGACTAACCTTATCTACTGCTTAGTCCTAGTGAAGGTTGGGAAGATGCTTGCACTGTTAGGCCCCAAGGCATCAAGAGCAGAGAAGAGCAGCTATGACTACTGCAGTGGATCCTCAGTAGGAAATTTAAACACTGTGGACACTGACTGGGCTTGAAATACATACAGGAATACAAACATGGTCTTGGTTATAACTCCTCAGACTAAGCACTCATAGTACTCTAGGGAATCCTACTGAGCCAGGAGAGTCACAGAGCCATCAGGGAGTCCTGACTGTGACTGCCACCTTCTTTTAGTTTGGAGACAGCGAGAGTAAGAGCTGCACAGTAGCTATTTATGACTACGCAGTTCAATGGTGGCCAAAGTGTTTGTTGAATTGGTGTGTGGAACCAAAACAACACTGACTGCAGCTACAGCAGCACCGAATGAAGAAATGAGAGATTTGCTCCCTGCACTACACCAACACAAAACGGTGTCATGCAACCTTCAGCTTTACTAACCCATGGCCCCAGTAATGGACAAAACAGCAGGCTCCTGTCCACAGCATAGCAGTTTTCTTTTTGGATCAATTTTTCCTACTTCTTGGCACTGGCAACATTTACACAAAACATTTACATTTATCAGATTCCTCCTCAGAGTTACAAAAATCTTTAATCTGAGATTTATTTATTTGAGGATGGCATGTTTCATTTACAGAAAAGACAGGAGCATTGTCATGCTTCAGAATATCTGTCTCCAGTTTATATTTAAGGAAAACAACACTGTCCAGCTCTTTTGCACCAAGTTTTACCTTGCAATCAGAAGAAAGCTAATGAAAGCTTTTGTCTTGCTCACAACTGAGTGCCTACGAGGACTACAGTAAACTGCTGGCAGGAACAATGGAAGATAAGTTTTCTCATCGCATGTAAAACTTCAACTATTTTTTTTCCATTTATATCTCTTAAGAGATAATCAATATAAGAACAGAAAACATCTAAATACAGATTATTTGTTGTGGATGTTCTTGAGGCAGCCTGGAGCACATATTGCTATTTTAAGATGAACTGAAGAAATACATTTGAACATATTATTTAAAACCGTGTATTTCTATTTAAGATACAGATTCATGTACATAAAATAAAGGCAAAAAAGCGGTGGGAGTGTATTGTCTCTAAACATCAGCAGGTAAGTGTAAACACATTAAGCAAACAAACATGAGTTTGCAAGGCATCATACCTGATTTGTCTATAATCGCATCAATTTCTTCAATGACATCAAAATAGGCTTCGTTGTTTGTGTATTTTACCCCTGCTCTGCGCCAAGGAATGTTAGACAACTGTCCGGTGGGAAGTGTGTCGCCCACATTACTACTGCCTTAAAAATGAAAAGGAACTCAAAATCAGTAATTAATTACAAGAGGAATGTTTCAACTGCTTCAGCTGTTAAGAAACAAAGCAAGATTTGCTCCCAAGAACTGCAGACTAGAACCTGGATCACTGAAGTTTCATCCATTAGGTGATGTGAATGCACTTTCAGAGTATGTCCAGAGAGTTTTCCGACTATGCTTTGCACAGCAAATTTAAGGCACAGGTCAGCAGGAGGTTTGAGTGGGAGATGATGTGGGGCTAGATGCTGTGACAATTCAAGACATGCCAGCTCCTTGTGACAGCCTTAAGCACTGCTTCTCCCTTTTAGCTGGCTGACTGCAGGGCTGATTTACTGATAAGAATTGTTATGAAGAACCAGGAAGGAGCCTTAGGGAGGGCTCCTGCCCCCTTTGCCTGGGAGCTGTTGTTAGGAGGAGGTTCTCACCCTTGGTACCCATCTGAGTTACCTTGCAGTAACATGACAGCCACGTCTACACCTGGCCACATGCCAAATCGATCCAGAGGCCTAATCAGCCCATAGACTTGACTTTCTGGCTAGACCTGTCTTATCAGGACAGACTTTCCTGTCAGTCAGTGACCTGTAGATGGCCCTGTTATCATATGATCTCAATCCTGACCTTGCCCTGTTAGCTCCACTTGTCGGCTTCTTAACATTGATGCCACTGCTCCTGCCTGCCTTGCCATCACCCTCGGCTCCTGGTTCTTAACACCACCTGGTGTAAGAAAAGGGCTTCCTGAGCTATCTACTTAAAAAATAAATACATGATTCTTTAAAAAAGGGGAAAAAAAATGTTGTAACTTCTGAGACTTAGGTTGATTTTGAAATCCAAATCCAGTGGAAACAACTCCCTCTGCTAGAAGCAGTCTCAGGACAGTGCCACAGCTCAGGCTTGCTCGTGCCCTTTCGCTGAATGAATGCGGTAGTGTGTCCTGTGGCGTGAGACAACTTCACTGAGAGGCTGGCAGCCGGTGGATACCATTTCTACACAAGCTGCTGGGCAGGCCCTCTCCTAGCAGGCAGAAAACACAAGTTTTCATTCTTCTGAGCTAGTAAAACAACTCACAGTAACTGCTGGGCTGCCAGGCCAGGCAGGTGGGAGGGCTCTCGGGCTGCAGTTTCCCACCTGCTCAGAGCTGAACTGTTGACAGTGACAAGATGCAGGCCACCCTGGGCAGGCGCTTTAGGCTCCCAGGGAATTCTAATAAGGCTTTAGATAAAACAAGAGGATTTGATGCTGCAACCCTTGGCTTCAGCAGTCTTAATTCCCCTTACAGCAGTGCATTAATGCCATAGATATTTTTCCTATGTTTAAGTATTATCATCCAAAACCATATTTAAAAAAACCCATCAAACCAACCAAAAAACTAGAAATTAAAACTGATGAGATTTTTACTCTAAGATTAAACCACACGTGCTACCTCAAAGACCAGCTCCTCTGAGCACTACCTCTGTGTGGCCCTGCAGCCCAGCCACTACCCTTCTCTAACACAATGTACAGGCCAACATCTCAAGTATCTCTGACCCCGCGTGACACCTCATGGCGTACCTCCCTTGTACCGGCTTGCCAGACAAGTGGATTCCACCACCTCAGCTGACAGACATTTGGCTCTGTCAGTGCAAGACATAACCATTTACACCAGTCTGAAACCAGCACCGAACCTGATGGATGCTGATGGTGGTGGGGAGGAGGCCGAGCACAGGCTAGCTGCTTCCCTTCATATTATCTGTTCCCAGCCAGCAAAGATTTATTAGACATCTGTATATACCTTTCTGTAATCATTTCTTATAAAGTGCATAACCTTCTCCAATGCCTCTGAGTAATTCAAGGCTTGGAGCTAGCTCTGTACCAATCCCAGAGCACCTGTCTCCAGTATGCGCTGTCTGTGCTGGGAACTGCTACTCCTGAGGGACTTCAGCAGCTGTGGCTGGACCAGATCGTGCCACTGGGGATATCAAAGGGGCCAGGCGTAAACTGCAAATAAGGAGGAAGCTGCTTTTATTCAACTCCTACTTGTGAGAAGGACAGTGACCTCACCTTACAGATTCACACCAATATATGATTTTTTAGCTATGAAGCATGATGGGGCTTTGTTTTCCAGAAGCCAGTCACCACTGAAAATCAGTTATTTTCATACCTGTGATGGAGTTGACAACGGAGCGCAAAATTGTGGGAGGCTTAATCAGCTCCTTCAATATGTTTGATTCTGTTGCCAGTGGAAAGCCATTGTCTAACATTTCTTCCAGAAGTTCATACACAATAACTACATTGTCCTTAATTGCAGTCTCAGAACATTCGCCAAAGTAATCCTAAACAAATCAGAGATTACAAAGAAGAGAATTTTTATTCCTGTTAAAATGCTTTGCAGAAGTAAGTTTGGGTTTTTTTTTCATTACAGAAACCCTCCAATATATCAAGGAATTTTAGTGTCTGAACTGACTAGCAACTTCTATCACCTAATTAGGAATAAAGGCAGGGTGAAGAGTGAAATCAATGTAATCTGGTTTATGTTATATATGTCTCAAAGGTTCTCCCACTTGTGCACATTAGCACATCTCCAGTTAGAAGACTCTTGTGAAATAAGGAGACTATCTTTTGGCAATGCCCAATCTTCACAGAGGTTCCTTTATTTACAGTGTCTGTGAAACAGGTTGAAAACTGACTCATGCTTTGCATGTCTTTCCTGGATACAGACTGCATCATGACAGCATGCTCCTTCTTGCTCATCATATAACATGAAATGTACAAAATCTTACAGAGAAAAGACAGCATTTGCAAAGAGGGATTTGGGTTTTAGTGCATATGCACTGGTATCTATCAATCAAATCAATACACAAAGTTACACCTTCTTTTCCTTTGTACTCTATAAACCAGTGCTTGACTTAAAAATTGCAAAGGGGAAAGTCACTGACAGGAGAGTTTATTACCTTTCTTTTGAAGAAGCTTATACAGAAATTCCCTTGGAGTTATTTCAATTTAAAAATTATTAAATAGTGACAGACCTGGAAAGTATCTGCTACTCGGTGTAGAAATTCAATTACAAAGAGTGGTGGCACTTCTGTCTGTATGACAGACACAAAGAAGATTTTATCCCGATAGATGCTGATGAGGTAGTGATGTGGTGTTGAGATGACAGGAGGCACATTCTCAACATCGATTGCTTTCTCCTGAGCTTCGAAGAAATAATCGCACACAGATTGGCTCACAACGCTCCTCCAGTGCTTCTCCAAGAATATATCTCCAGAACAGTTTATAAGAAACAGGCTGTGGATCATTTTCTGTTGGAAACATAAAAATAAACAAAATTATATGATTGACACGATTTCTTCTCCCAGATTCCCTTTCTTACAACGGTTGTTCTTTACTAATACGTACTGTGAATTTAAGAAAAAGATCTGCTTTGCTGCTTTTCTTTAAATTGCGTTTTCTTCATTTAGAGGTAAGTTCCACCACAAAATATTTCACTGTGGATTAAGTCGCTAACATATATCACAACGTAAGCAAGAAGCTAGCACCCTTGATTTCCACTCTCATCCCTATCTGGTATTTGTAATTTAGTGCTTAGAGAAAAGCCGACTCTCATGAGTTGGCACTCTCTTAAACATGCTTGGCAGTACATAAGGGTAACTTACACGTAAAGCTTCCTATGGCAGAGGCGTTTGCATAACGTTTACAAACTTAACTAAGAATTGCACTCTCTTAAAGATACAGCTCTTCAGCTGGTCGGCTTTTAGCTACTGAACTAGAAAGGTGGTTTTTATTTGCTGGCTGATTAGTCTTATGATCCATGCCAAGCTGCACTTGGATAAAGGGCTGGAATTCCTTAAAAGTACACAAAATCAGGAGTTTAAATCTGGTTTAATGAATAAAATTGCCACAAATGTGCTTGACACACATGAAATTTGTTTACATAAAATGTGTTACACTTAAAAACTAACTCACTCATGAAAAAGGGGAGTATGAACTGTAGATAAGGAATGTAACTTTTTTCTTGTATCTTTAAAGATTTACAAATAATAATGCCTCAGCCACTGATCCTTCATTTTATTCATGGGACAAGAAGCTTATCTGCCTTTTTTTAAAACTAATGCCCAGTCTACTTCTCAACTTTCAATGAGATATTAAGTGAACTAAGTTGTCGATTCAAATGAAGTGAATAAACTATTTTCCCCACATCTACATAAGAGAGAAACACTATCAGACTTCAGTTTACCTCTTCAGCCTTTATGTGGGACAGATATAATGCTTTGGCTGACCTGCAGCATAACCATCCTCTGACCAAAATAAGGTCCACATTTAAACTCAGGCTTAGAAAACAAAACAATCAAATTGTAAACCAAGCACTGGCTCCTCACAATTTAGTTTACCTGGTACTTATATCCTGCATTAATTCATTTTGTAGTTGAAGAAGCTGTCCCTGCCACTGGCTATTCATCCCTTTTGCCCTCTAGGTATTGATTTGAGCAGGTCTGTGGCTCTGCAATTATCTCTATCAGGAAACTTGTCCAGCCATTAACTGACCCAGAAAACACAGTTTCTGGTCAGATCTGCTTCCTGATGCAAGTTATTACACTGCCAGAGTGCTACAGCTGGGGCAAAGGAGGTGATGGAAACGGGCAGGTGATGGCAACAGAGATACCCTGAATTGACGTTTATGTAGCCTTTGGAGAAATTCAAGCATGACTGGAAAAAGACCAGTTACTTGGTGTCCACACTTTGAAAAGGAAGACCACCATCAACTCTACGTGTCCAAGAGAAGCCAAACACATGTACCAAAAACCTGTCATGGTTTTCATTTATCTTAGGATGTTTGGCCAGGATCATGCCACAAAATGCAGGTAGAATTTGCTCCTTCGCTAATGTTAACTCTGGCACACAAATGCGAAGACAGAAGCATCGAGAAGCCCAGTCCCACAGACATATTAAGGCGTCTGAACACTGTATGATTAAGCCTCATTCCAAAAATAATGGAATAAGCACTTAGCTCCGTCCACAGTGAACTTTTGTCGCTGTGTCTGAATCTAAACTGTTCAGAGTACTAGGCTGACCTCCTGACACACCTGTAACACTGAAAAATTATCTGGCCCTGTAGATCTCGAGGAAACAAAAGTATGTCTTCCAAAGTGCACCAGAGAAGGTGAAAAAGGACTACTAAAGAAGGTAGGTAGCATGCTACTTCCCTCCACCTAAGTCAGCAGATGTGGGAAGGGAGCCAAGATCCAGCTTTTCAAATTCTCAACTCCAGCTGCTCCTTCACATGCATGACAGCAATGTGCTCATCTTCCCTGGGGCCTTGCCAGGTCTTAGCTACCTCCTGTGAAGAGCACACTGTCTTTGGTGGTAGACACAGAAAGATCGGTGGTCAACAAAACGGGGACAGAAAAATCCAAGTAAGCCAATACGGTATGTAAGAGGAAGTTCTTTTGGAAACTGTGATTGCCAATTCGCTTAAGAGTGGGATAGGAAACAAAACAACAAAGTGTTACTGCGTGTTTCCACTGTCTCTTTCCTGGACCAAATTTGTCCCTAATTTAGTTTGTTAAAAAAACAGACAATTTTAATACGGTGAGCAGAGCATTCTTATAAAGCAGCCTTGACACAATTGCTTTAATCCAGGTTAACTAAACATGTTCTGAATTTAGCCAGTGCTGAACATTAAAACCCTCCAAAATCTCCTGGATAGTCACACAACGGTGGCGAGTCTAATCAACCACTGAATGTCAGTATTGTTCCACACCAAGGCAGCCCAAACATATGAAGGTGATCAGCTATAAAGCTTAGAATAGTTCTCTGTACATTGTAATATGGATACAATAGCATATCTGTTAACAGACATTAAACTCAATTGCTAGTAAATGCACACAAAGCTGCCTAGGAGAGTTTCAGTACAAGCAGCACCAGTTGTGCTCCATTTCCAGAGGACTTGGTCTACAGCCCACGGTGGAGAAGCCACGCTGGTCTGCAGGCAGCTCCAGGCGATACTCTGACGAGGTATATCAGATACGTGTGACAGTGTGTTTAAGACTTAGCAGTTGTCCTCCTGTTAGGGTTCATGCAGATCTATGGATCAGAAACGATAGTGTTTGTCACGATGTAGTTCTAAGAAGCACAGCAGCGCAGCAGGCCAACATTATCACTGCCTATATACAGCAAGCTCCTGGCACACCAACGGCTGTGTTACAGGGCCTCTTCTTTTGCCCTAAGTACCACTTAGGTTGTTGGACCACGACGTGGTATGCGACTGAGGGAGGGCTCGGGTAGCCAGAAGGGGCAGCAGCGTTGAACCACTGCCCCTGTTTACTCATCTGCCCCAAGCTGCCCAAGTACCGGCTGTGTTCGTACAAGTCTGCGTGGCCTCGTGGTGAAATGGAGTAGCAAACTGATCCAGGGGACCATGCTTGGCCTTGCACTATCTGTGGAAACTGAGCAGTAAAATCCCATCAGGAAGGTATCATTAGGAAGACAGGGACTACAGGATCTCCCACGATACATAATTATTTTGCTTGTAGCATGTAAGTTTCCTCCAAAACCCCTCACATACTCCCTTCCCCCTTCCCAAGTTTTAGCAGTATGTTAATTTGCTGCTAATTTGAAGCGCTCTGGAGAAGTTCTCCTTGCAGCTTAAGTGCAGAGCAGGTCAGACCCACAAGCACAAGCCCTGCCCTATCAGGCAATGGGCAGTTTGGATGCTTCCCTCTACCCGAGCTGACTATAGTAACGAAGCTCTGATAGCAGCAGGGACATCAGCCTATTGTACATAAGACTAAATCATTTGATTTATCCCACACACTGTCAAACAACTGGCACCAGCCAATTAAAGATGGGTATCTTACAACTGGTACTGCTGCAAAAATATCTTGTATAAGCTATGATTTAACAAAAATTACTTACAGTGCTCCCAATACTGAAAATTTCCCTGCTACTCTATTTTTTGAGTGCCAGATTTCACTTCAGACATGTAGACACCCCTGAATTCAGTTCTCAAGAAAAGAAAAGAAAAAAAAGATTAAAAAATGCTGAACATAAGCAGTCAGTCTAGTAACAGTAAGATTCCTCACTCCAATAGGTCAAGTTAATGTTTGTGGCCAAATAGCAAAGCATGTGAAAAGCTGCAACGCTTTGAGGGTAAAGGTCTTGAATCAAAGTTCCTACGTTTAAAAAAAACAGTAGCAAAAGCACACCATGAAAATTTAAGACTCGTGACAGTAGCTGTGCAGCAGCATACACATACACCACTTTGAGAGGGCAGCGTGACGCTCGGGCTATTTCCAAAGGCCATGCCTCCTATCCCTCTGCTCTTAGGCCCGCCCAAGCAGCAGACTGAAGACATACATGAATTATTATTTATATCTAGATCAAGCCATTCAAGCTCACTTTTCCAGGCCTACAACCTTCCATACTACTGCCTGACTGAAAGGCATCTTACAGGCACTGCGGCAACAAGCAGCTCAGCAGAGGTTTTGCAGCTTCTCACAGATTTCCCATTCTTGCTCTGTCTGACACACAAAACTCTGCGTGACTCTCTGCAGTCATTTCCATCCTACCAGAATTTGAAGTCCTCACAGAAGAACTAAATATTTTAACTAAGGCGCCTTCAATACGCTGTTTCCAAGGCTGTATCTTTTCTTTTGACTAAATCTGGATTTTGCAATGTTATTGTTTTTTCAATCTGTTGGCAGAGAAACATCTGGACTGAAGTGACAGCAGGCTCATGAGACAAAAGCGGAGCTCATTGGCAAGAGGGAGAAGCTGCGAGCATGGGAAAGGGACTGATTGCACGTGCTTGTCCTTAGCTACAATTTAGTACTCTAAAATGTAATATATGCAGAAATACTGTTACCAGCTGCTTTTCCATAACACTGAGCTGAGCTCCAGTCAAAGCTCTGAAAACCAGGAAGTGAGGAATTTATCACTGACCTCTGCAATGCCCTTCAGAGCTAGTAATAATTACTGAAAATGGCTCAAAATGGGACCATCACTAGGAAATTATTCCACAGCTTCCATGTCCCCTCCATTTGTGTAGCTGCTCTGAAGGGTAGAAGGATTAGTGGGGGCAGACTGTCTGAGCCTCTGTTATGTATTTGTGGAAATGAACTTCTAGTGACAAGCAAACGGAAAGTAATCAAACGCTTAAAGTAATCTGGAGAAACAAACAAGCTAAGACAGACAGTTCTATTTCTATTTTAAAGCTAGTATTTTTGCCACAACCAGCTGGTTGGTAGTTTAGCTTTTTCCTATACATTCAAGATGTGTGTCACAGGTGTGGCAAAACTAG